CCGCTAGCCACAACGTTCCACCGCTAGCCACAACGTTCCACTGCTATCCACAATGTTCCACTGCTATCCACATCGTTCCACTGCTAGCCACCGCGGCTAATTCCTCTGACGTGGACAGCCTATTTCTTCTTCACGGCCTGATCTTAGTCTGGAAGCTCTGCTGAAACCGGTTCACTTTGGTGACCCTGCCGGTGTTGGAAATACCAGTGGCATAGCGTTCAGCATCACAGCCACACACAAGCCACTACAATACGACAAACTGGCAAACAAATGGTAGAAGACTTCCCTACATCGACCTAATTGGCAATGGCAATGGCCCTGTCTTAATGCACGATGCTTCTATACGATATTATCCTGGGGAAGCTGAGTACACAGGACACAGTTACACTTTTTTTTTTTAGATCATTTTATTAGGGCCTCTTACACTTGTTACAACCCATACATCAAGTGTATTTGACATATTAGTACATATATTGCCATCATTCTTTTCTAGACATTTACTTTCTATTGCCCAGTTATACTTTTTGTAACTCCTGGTGAGTATTAAACCACTTCAAAGTATAAAAGAAGTATTAAAAAAAACCTTAAAGATCAAAATAAAAACCATTGGCCTAGCCCTTATTCTTCATACCTGAGACCTGGGAACACAATGAGATATTGGGCTAAGACGTTTCAACTTTTTGGTGGACGCTTATGGTCTTCCCAGAGGAGTCCCAGTAGCGCAGTGGTTACACATTGGGCTGCTAACAACAGGTCAGCAGTTTGAAACCACCATTCACTTCGTGGGAGAAAGACGAGGCTTTCTATTCCCAGCAAGAGTTATAGTCTCAAGAAGTTCAATTTGTACTCACTTTAACATGAGGGAAGCCTTTATTAGTCGATTTTGCAAAATTGGGCACCCAAGCCCGGAGACAAATTGGGCAGAGATGGCACGCCTCTCAGCCCCTCTGGAAGTATCATATCCCCTAGTTTGAAGATGCCCTCCCCTGATTCCTCATTTGCTGAGTTCTATGGTGAACAATCTCCTGAACAGTACCTACTCCTTTCATTTAAGGTTTCTCCCTTTGGAGCAGTTTCCCTCTCCCCACCCTCTCCCCTGTCTTAATTCATCCAATTCACACGTTCCATAACCCAGGTGCCTGGGCTCTAATGATTGGTACATCAGCTATCCACTGGTGCCCTGGTGACTTAGTAACTGCATAAACTCTTTATTCTCCTATTGCTGAAGATGGACCGGCCTGGTGACGTATTTCTCACTATGAGTTGGAATGGACTCATTGGCAGTGAGAAAATGTATAGCCTTCTCAGTTCTTTCAGTTAGCTAGTCTGCACACTGAGCAGGACTGGTTCTCCATCCCCCATAAGTGCAAAGCTCAACAAACAGCCACAGCAAAATGTTGCCACACATGGGAACCAAAGAAAACGGGGAAAGGAGGGCCCTTGAGCTTCTGGGACCAGGTCCTATGGAGTAGCCAGGTGAGGCTTCCGTGACAGACGTTGCCTGCCTGTCCATGGACAGGCATCAGCCATCAGAACTTTCTCAGATGCTTGGGTTTCTGTGGACCTTCCAAAGTACGTCCTGGAGAAAAACAAACAAACAAAAAGGGAATAGGGATTTTTGTTCTACATCACATTTTTCACAACATCTAACCGAGTGTTAATCTTTACCAGGTCTCTTTACTCTCCTGGTTGTCCAGTAGCAGTGAAAAGAAATGGGCAAAAAACGTTCAAGGTGGAATGACTGAAATCCAGGGAACAATCCCAGTGTAGTGGTTCTAGAGAACCACTCTCCCCCCCTTATTTTGAATATTCACAGAAGTGCACTTGATACTCGATTCTCCAAAGAGGAGCAGGATGCTAGGCACCACGGGAAGAAACGCCCAACCTTCAGGAGTCTGAACTCCTACCATCTGTTGGACTGATGTAGCTGCCGTTGAGTTGATTCTGGCTCTTGGAAACTCTGTGTGTTCGGGGAACTGGCCCCACAGGGTCTCCCAGGCGGTCCCCTTGGGGAGCAGATGGCCAGGCCTGCTTTGGAGGTGCTCTTGGGTGGGTCCGAGCTGTCATCCCTTCAGCTAGAGTCAAGCACTAAACCATTTGTAGCATGTAGACTCTTTTCCTACCATCTAAAGACCCGCGATCCAAGAGAATCAGCATGCTGTTGGACTGCTTGGAAGGAGCACAACACGCATACAGGGAAAATGTGTTATTTCAAAAAAGTCTGTGGTATTTTCAGCCTGGTCCGTGGAGGTTTTCTGGAGGCAAATTAGAAGCTAGACTTACAAAGAAAGATGCTTAGAACTCCAGCTTCCTTTCCAGTCTGTCATTTACAAGAGTCCCTCACTTCAGAGATCTTTTCAAATTTCTCTTTGGGGAAAAGAATAGATTTTTCCACCCTTTTTGTCTGTCACATAAAAGCTTTCTACACTGACAATTCAGAAAATTTAAAAGCAAAATCTGGCACCTAAGTTAGTACCTTTAAATGTACGGGATAAACTAGATTCTGCACGCAACACAAAATGTGTCCTTGATAAGTCCTTATCATCGCACACATTTTTCTTAAAGAGTGAATGAACCAAAAAAGGGGGACAGGAAAAACAAAATCCCTACGAGAAAACATGCTAGATAAAAACGAGTTACCTCCAAGTAGTTCTCATCACTAACCACACCGAGGCGATTGTGTCCTTCTGTAGCTTCTACGTGTTGTCTGCTGTTATGTCCAAACCATGTGTGTGCAATGGCTGACAACCTTGACCTTCCCAAATGATGGAAACAACATTTTCTCTTCTGCTTCCAAGGGTATGGGAGCAGTATTTTTCAACAAAGGGGAGAACTGTATTGCAGCTGGGCGGTTATTTGTGGAAGAATCCATCCATGATGAATTTGTGACAAGAGTGGTAAGGCATTTCAACAACTCCATGAATTATACATGGAATTATATATTATATATTTATATGTAAATTATATATATTAACCTAAAAAGTACTTCCTGGCTATTAATGAATTTTTAAGTAGGATAAATAACATTTTGTAGTTATATTTTAAGCAACAATCCCTAACTTTTATATCGGTACACTGGCATATTTACAGATAATATGTATAGAACGTGCTTTAAAATAACAGGAGGGAAGGAAGTGAGTAGGAAGGACAATGAGTTGGGACTTATGGAAACTAAATAATAGGCACATAGGCTCATTATATTATATTATTTGTATATTTTTATATTTTCCTAATAAAAATCATAGATCTATATAAAAAGTTGATAAAGTATACTTAAGAGTTGCTATTTCCAAAAAAAAGAGTTGCTATTACCTACACCCTGCTCTGCATTTATAGCATAATTTATAGCCTATGAGATCCATGATATTGGTGAGAGATAGGCCTTACATTTTAAAACGACTGTGAGAGACGTATCGCTAGAGTCTTATAAGGTCCTTCGGGGTCAGATGGGCTTTACAGCAATGAGTGGATGGCTACGGACTAGGAACATTTCTGCATCTATTTGGGGCCTAAAGTAAAATGTATGGCCCTGCAAGGTCATGTCAACCCCGATTCTGTCTTTTGGTTAGAATTAGACAACGCAGGAGCCCTGGTGGCATGGCAGTTTTGAGTGGGCTGTGATCTGCATGGTCGGCAGTTTGAGACCACCAGCAACTCTACGGGAGAAAGACGAGCTTTTCTCCCTGTAAACAGTTACAGGTGACGAGGAGTCGGCACTGACTCAATAGCAGTGAGTTTGGTTGGTTTTTGTTTGTTTTTTAGAAAATACAGAGATAAATTAAGATTGCTGAGGAACAAGACAGAATCACAAAGACACACCGTTGATGCACAGCGTGTGATAAAGATCGGTTTTGATCAGAAGGTTACAGCAATTCCTCTGGCATGGTTGTACCAGGAGCATTTCACAAGAACAGTGGGCCACCTTTAGGGGTGGTGGGAAGATTCACAATGAGGCCACTTTAGAAATTGTTCGGCCATGAAGAGTTTAAAAATTATGCAGTGTTAACAAAACAGCGGCTCGCTACTTTAATGGATTAATATTCCAGGTAATTTGATGCAGCGCTCATACCATATGTTCTGGTAGAACAACTTAAAAGGTCGGATTTGCAAGTCGGGAAAACGCCACAGCCCTTAGTGGCTGTCGTCTGGTAGGCAAGTCACTTCACCTCGGTTTTTCCAGTTGGAAAATGGAAACATGAAAACCTCCCTCCAGTGGGTTGCTCTGTTGGCTAAATGGCCACTCACCTTTCAGCAGCTTAGTACAACACCCAGTACCTGGTAGGAACTCGGCCGAGGGTAGCCGTTATTATTATTAACAGTGAATTGTGTTTTGTGAACTGGGTGACATACAGGTAGAAGAAATTAAAAAGATGAAAATTGGTGATCCACTTGACAGATCTACCGATCATGGGCCCCAGAATCATAAGGCCCATCTGGAGAAGCTTCTGCAGTACTGTGAGACTGGTGTGAAAGAGGGGGCCACCTTGGTGTACGGGGGAAGACAAGTCCAACGGCCAGGTAAGATCGCCTCCATAGGAGTGTACAGGGTGCTTGGCTTCTTAATTTGGAAAGGATGTCAGCAATGTTCCCTGCAGCACCTTCTGGCCTCCGAAGCAAATGGTGGTGTTTATATTATACTTAGAAGACCTTTTATTGATCCTGCTTGACTATATCTCTACTGTGGCACACTGGGCATTGTTTTCCTGAACCCCAGTTTCCTCCTTGTGGAAATGTGCCCCCTAGGCTGTACAAAGGCTGTGGAAATCAACTCTCCCTGTGGATGTGATTTGCTGGCAAGGAAACAAGTGTGGTGGACAGCAGTGTTCTTTGGGCACTGAAGCGCTTGATTCATGGCAAACGTAGTCTGCGGCAGGATTCGTCCCTGCTGTCAAAGGAGCCCTGATGGCAATGTAGGGGAAGGAGGGTTGATAGCCACAAGGTCAGCAGTTCAAACCCACCAGCTGCTCCTTGCGAGACACTTGAGGCTCTCTACTCCTGGAAAGATTTGCAACCTCAGAAACCCCACAGAAGGGTCTCTCTGAGTCAGAATTGACTGATGGCAATGGGTTTGGGGTTGGTTTGTCTAAAGCAGAACCTATCCATGAAAAATCTAAATGGCCCAAAGGCATTGCACTTAAAGGGGGGGAGAGAGATGAACAACTACAAAGACTCCTTTTTTGCTGTGGCAGGTAGTTTGTGCACCGCTCTGGCTATTAGGCGCCATCCTCACAACTGTGCTTTGTGAGCCCATTGTTGTAGCCCCTGTGTCAGTCCATCTCATTGAGGGTCTTCATAATTTGCCCTGTATTTCCCCTAAGAACTGAATTTTAGGATAGCTAAATAGCTGATAAAGGAGACTCCTTACAGGAAAAAAAAAAATCCCTGATAATTACAGTAGACAGAATGGTAGGGTTGGGAAAATCACCATTTTGCCTCCATAACTTAATGAAATAACCATTTCAGACCGTGTTCGCAGTGAAAGTTCATGTTAAGGGGTGAAAGGTACAGGGACCTGGTTGTTTGCAAGGTATCAAATTTAGCACCCCTGAGATCTCTGGCCTATCTTAAAGGGGAAAATAGAACTTTACAAAGGAGGAGCCAGGCTGTCCTGGAGCCAGGGAACTCTGCCCCACTCCCCATTGGTTTTGGCATCACTGAAGGAAGGACAACTGAATATTGGGCGTTTCCCACTGGGGCGCAATGTGTAGTGCACAGCCTCACCTCTGAAGTATGTGTGCCAAAATGTTTAACTAGAATCTAATCATGCCTTTAGGTCAGACTTTCCATCTACAAGAAATATGAGTGGGTAGAAGAACAAACCAAATTTCACCACACAGAAGCGATAGCAAATCAAAACCCTAAGATAAACTTTAAGACAATGAATCAGTCTCTTTGACAAGCAATCTCATGGGGAAAAGGAGGGCAGAGACGGAGGGAAGATTCCACATTGAAACACCTTGAAGAGCTCTAAGGACAGTAATGAAAGATTAGCTCCTGAAGGGAGCACTTACACTGTGGTTAGGATGTGAACGAATGAGGTAAGATTCATTGCAGGGTGGGTCCCCTCAGATCTCTTTGCCGGGCAAGTTGACACAGGAAATCCCTGAGAACACGTCACAGGCAAAGTTCCTCAGGGCAAAGCGGTGCAGACAACGTGGAAAAGCAGGAAGAGGAGGGTCTGTGTTCCCCAACACCTGACCATCCTGTGGCCAAACTTTGTTTAATTCAGACATCACGGCAGTCTGCTTACCGTGGCTGCAAGACCAGAAACAGCATTGCTTCCCCCATCAGCTCGTACTGTTGAGTATCTTCAGCTTCATCTGACTCATAGAAACCTTACAGAATGGAGTAGCACTGCCCTGTAGGGCTTCCTAGGCTGGTGTAGTGATTACGAATTGGGCTGCAATCTGCATGGTTGGCAGTTCAAAACCACCAGCAGCTCCTCTGGAGACTGGGCTTTCTACTCCCGTAAATAGTTACACTCAGAAACCCATACATAGCAAGGTCACGATGAGTCATCATTGAGTTTGGTGTGGTTTGGCTTTAACTCTTTATACAGGTGGTGTAGTGGGTTATGTGTTGTGCTACTAACAGTTAAAATCAGCAGTTCAAAACCACTGGCCGTTCCACAAGAGAAAGATGAGGCTTTCTACACCTGTAAAGAGTTAAAAGTCTCTGTAGAATTGGTGAACCAGTATGGGAATCAGTATAGCACTTCCTTAAACAAATGCAAATGCACATACCATATGAACCAGCAGTCTCTCCACTGGGTGTGTCCCCTAAAGAAATAAAGAATACAACTCAAACTGACATGCGCATAGGAAACAACCCCAAACTCCAACTGTGGATAGGAATGGATCAGCAAACCCTGGTCCAGTCATACAGTAGAATATTCTGCATCAATAACAAATGATGTCAATTCTCATAAACACCGCAAGACCTGGACAAAACGAGAAACCATGATGTTTAGCAAACTTAGTCAATCTAACAAAGATGATACATGTTTAATCATACCATTCTTATAAGAAAAAACAAAGCAAAAGAAATGTGGTTTTTACACTAAAGCAACGATGATGACGTCTACAAGGAGGCCCGGGAGGGGGTGGGAACAGGGAGAGGGGAGGGCGGGATATGGTATTGAGGCGCGAGGGAGGGAGGATGGGGTGGGGGAACAAGAGAACCACAGTAAGGGAGGGGTTAACGGGACATTGTTGATTTCATTTGGCAAGATGGGCTGTGTGACTATATACAGTGTGCTTCTTAAAAAAATTTTTTTAATCCCTCCAGAGTCCTTACCCCTTGGCCCTAAATATTGGTCTGAGTGGTTGGAAAAAAAATGGGGGCAAGAAAAAGTAAAACTGAAATCGACTTTGGATTCTTTAGGGACAAACAAGCTCAGGTCAAACATTAAAAAAAAAAAGAGTCATGGTCTCAGAAACCCACAGGGGCAGTTCTATCTGTCCTAAAGGGGCGCTAAGAGTCCGTGAGTTGTGGAATCTTTACAGGACCAGGTTGCCAGTTCTTTGCTCCCACAGGGTCGCTGGTGGGTTTGAATCACCAACCTTTCGTTTCTCAGCCAAGTGCTTAACCATCACCCCACCAGGGTTCCTACCTTGACTGCCTACAAGATGCATCACTTTAGTACCATCAGGTGGTCATAGAGGCAGAGAAAGTTGCTTGGGTTCAGAACAGAGAGGGAGGGGGCTTTTCTGGCAGAAACAGAGTCCCTGTTCTCAGTCTCTGCATTGAGCCCAAAGTCTCCGAGGTGGCAGCCGGGAGGGCAACCAGAAATTCAGACCATCTCCCAGCACAGCCAGAGGCAGAGTGAACCAGGAAGTGAATGTCTTCCTGGTTTTACAGAGCCAGAGAGGAAGGAAAATAATTATCATGGAATTAAGCAGGTGAACTATTCAATGAAAACTGCCCTCTCATTGAAGTTCTTTTCTGTCTTTTTCTCCTAGGCTTTTTTATGGAACCAACTGTGTTCACAGGTGTGGAGGACCACATGTACCTTGCCAGAGAGGAATCCTTTGGGCCTATCATGGTCATTTCTAAGTTCCACAATGGGTATGTTTTCAGACACGGGTTAACTAGGGTTTGATTTGCTACATTTCCCCATCTCTATTATTGTGCTATATAAGAGCGTATAAAATCAATAAAGATGGGATTTCTTACCACTAAGCATAACTGCCTTAATCAAATCATTGGGAACTAAGGTAGAGCGTGATATGGTTTTGCGTTTCAGTTTAAATGAATGGTTCACATGGTTACGTTTGGTGGTGGTTGGTTTTAGAAAGCGATCATTGTTAATGACCAGATAAAAACTAAGTGGGGACAAGCTTGCATCCTCCCCTTTGGGAAGAGAAGAGCATCATCAGACCATTTCATTACTGAATGTGTAAATGAGTATCAGACTTTGTTATCACGGCATTGTCACATTAACCAGCAAGACCTATTAGTAGTTGCCACAGAACAATTTAACGTATTTTATTTTACATCAATCTACTGAGAATTGAAGATGTGCCATCATTTTAGCAAGAGTGTAAATGTAGACACCATGTGGATAAGGTTCTGAATTTTTCATCATTAAATTAAGAAAAGCAGCAGAGAGACATAAAATGCTAAATGTCACATCTATAAACGTTTTGTGTGATTGACATTTTAATGTATGTGGGGAAAAAGGTAAACACTGAGAAAGAAGAGACCGGGTTCCCCTGTGCACGCTAAGAAAGGCAACAGTTGTGAAATCAGGTTCTTTTGCCCCAAAGCAAGACTGGTATTAGCACCGGTGATTACCATCCAAAGAGCCGATACTCAGATTCTTATAGAAACAGCCACCCAAACCCACTGCCATTGAGTCGATGCCAACTCATGGCGACCCGATAGCAATGAGTAGACCTGTGTCCCAGAGGGTTCCCAAGGCTGTAATCTTTAAGGAAGAAATTGCCGCATTGCCACAGAGCAGTTGGTGGGTTAAAACCACGGCCCTTCTGGTTAGCAGTCAATTAAGTATTCACTGCACCGCCTGGGTTCCCTGAGATTTCCACAGTCCCCATGTAATCAACTATAAATTAACTATAAAGTTTATGTTGGTTTGTTATTTGTTATTCAATCTAAACCTTTCTCGATTGCTCCCCATATCAAAGGGGCCACAGGATAACTGAACTCATCAAGCAGTGTTTCATATGATTGATTCTCTCATGGTGTACTGCCCCAATTCATCTGAGTTTAGACTTCAGGTTTATTTGAACCGATGAGAAGATGAAAAGGAAAACAAAAACCAAAAAAAACAGGAAAAACAGACTATAGAGTTCAGGAGGGCTTCTAGGACTTAGATAGCCACACTGTAAGAGACTCTTGGAGGCACTCCGCTGCCCTGAAGGAGTCCTGGTAGGATAGTGGGTTACCTGTTGGGCTGCTAACTACAAGGTCAGCAGAGTTCAAACCCTCTAGCTTTTCTGAGAGGGAAAGGTGAGCTGTCTACTCCTGTAAAGACTTACAGTCTCAACTGCTAACCAAAATGTCAGTGGTTCAAACCCACCAGCTGATCCTCAGGAGAGAGATGTGGGTCTGCTTCCCTAAAGATGCCAGCCTTGGAGACCCTACGGAGCAAGACTGCCCTGTCCTGTAGGGTCGCTGTGTTGGCATCAACTTGATGGCAGTGGGTCTGGGTTTAGTTGGGCCCTCAAGGAGCTGGCCACCTGATGGGGAGAAAGCCAGAGAGGCAGACAATTAGTCCACTGAAGAAGAAGGCAAGAAGGCACAATGAGTAAGGGCATGCTTCTGCCTTTGCATGTTAGGGTCCCTGTGTGACTGGGCTAGCTATTTAATCACATTGTGCCTCAGTTTCTTTATTTGAAAAGCTGAAATAAGAGTACCTATTTATTTAGTCATGCTGAGGACTACACCAGCCAAGGATTTGCTGCTGCTGCTGCTGCTGCTGCCACCGCCGCCACCATCTCAGTATGCTTCTAGATGGGGGCAAGGAATGGCATAGCACCATGACACCCCAACAGTCCTCAACAAGAAAGGGCATGAAGCCATCTTTCAGCCTCAAATGCAGTCTGTAGACATTTGAGTCATTATGTCCACAAGCCTGCTGAGCAATGTGAGGCTTTTTGCAGTGTCTCTGTGGCCTCTACGGGTCCCAGATTTCTTGTGCGAGGTTAAGTTGTGCAGAGTGAAGGTAAACTTCCCTAGGTGGCATCAGCAATCAGCCATCAACTGCTAACCTAAAGGCCAGTGGTTCAAACCCACCCAGCGTTGCTTGGAAGGCCTGGAGATCTTCTTCCATAAAAACGAAACCCTTACGGAACCGTTCTACATCCTAACACGCAGGGGCGCCAGGGGCCCAATCGATTCAGCAGCAATCGGTTTAGCCATTTTTAAAAAAATCATTTTATCGGGGGCTCATACAACTCTTACCACCATCCATACATCCATCCATTGTGTCAAGCACATATGTACATTTGTTGCCATCATCATTTTCAAAACATTTTCTTTCTACTTGTGTCCTTGATATCAGCTCCTCATTTCCCCCCCCCCCAACCTCCCTCCCTCATGAACCCTTGATAATTTATACTTTTTTTTCATGTCTTATACCACTGTCTTCCTTCACCCCCTTTTTCTGTTGTCCGTCCCCCTGGGAAGAGGTTATATGTAGATCATTGTGATCGGTTCCCCCTTTCTCCCCCCACCTTCCCCTACTCTCAGGCATCGATGGGATCAAGTATCAGGCATCCAAGACCTAGAACAAAAAATCATATCAATGCAAATGAGGAGGCGCACAGAGTGGAGACCCCAAACCCATCTGTAGACAATTGGACATCCCCTTACAGAAGGGTCACAAGGAAGAGATGAGCCAGTCAGGGTGCAGTACAGCACCTACGAAACATACAACTTTCCTTTACTTCTTTAATGCCTCCCCCCACTATCATGACCCCAATTCTACCTTACAAATCCGGCTAGACCAGAGCATGTACTGGTACAGACAAGAGCCCGCAACACAGGGAATGCAGGACAGATAAACCTCTCAGGACCAATAATGAGAGTAGCGATACCACTTTTGTTTTACAGTCAAGATTGCCTTTGAAAATCCACTGGTGGGCTCTTCTCCGAATCCCTTACTGTTTCTCCAGAAGTTCAACACAGTGCATTTCCCCTCTGGCTCTGGAACGGATTCGGTTTCTTTGCCGGGGTAACAGATGAAAATATTGGACTTGCATTTACTGGCTGTGCTCAGAGAAAAATTGTGAATTTGTAAACATTAGGCTCACATCCAACAAGGCCGTTTTTATCCTATGACAGGGATGTTGGTAGGAACTGCACTTGCCCGAGAGAACAGCAGGTGCATGTCTCACAGCCAGGCGACCATCCCCGCCCCCAACCTACTGGTGTGGTGGTCACTGTCCCCTCGTTGTCATTTAATGGTCATCTGTCATTGGATCCACTCCCACGTGAAGACGTGAGACCACTGTATAAAATACGGTACAAACCAATCGCATCCCCGGGGACCGAGCAGACCGGCTTCTCGGGGGTTCTGAGACTGGTAATCTTTATGAAAGCAGTCTCATCTTTCTCCTGAGAAGCACTCAGTGGGCTCAAACCACTGAGCTGGAAGTTAGCAGCCCCACGCGTAGGCCACTGTGCCACGCACCCACCGCCATTGAGTCCATTCTGACTCAGCAACCAGGGCTCCTTACAGAAGCACAAGGGAAGACATTGTTTTAAAAGTATGATGATGTTGTTGCCCCTGCCCACAGGTGCTTCACGTGTACTTGATGGGTGAGCCACAAACAGCTGAAAAATCAAGCCAGCATCCCTTAGTTCATTCTACTAAAATACTGAGTTTGGACAAATATGTGCTCCCTGGTTACGGCTGACTTTTACTGAGCTTTTACCGAGTCCTGCATGCAGTTAGTTCAGAGCCCCGGTGGCCTTGTGGGCTAGGCCTTGGGCTGATAACTGCAAGGTTAGCAGTTCAAACCTACCACCTGCTACATAAGAGAAAGTGGAGGCTATCTGCTCCTATAAAGATTTACAGTCTCATAGACCCTAAGTAGGGTCACTATGGGTTGGTCATGATGAGTCAAAATCGACTCAATGGTAGTGGGTAGGGTTTTTTTTTAATCACGAAGCAGGTCCTCACATTTTTCATGAGCGTGAACAGAGGCATGTGTGAAGGGAACCATTGGCCCAAGGTCACCCGGTGTCTGACTTAACCACTCTGCACTTACAAGGGCACGGGAAAGAGCCCTGGAGGCATGGTGCTTACATGTTAGGCTGCTGACCTCGAGGTCAGCAGTTCAAAACCTTGAGCTACCAGGAGAAAGAGGAGGCTTTCAACTCTGGTGAAGAGTTACAGTCTCCCAAGTTCATGGGCCGACCTTGCCCTGTAGGGTCGCTCTGATTTGGCATTGTCGCAATGGCAGTGAGTTTGAGGTTTGTCTCCTTGTGGGGCCTAGGACGGCTTCAGAGCCAAGCCCTTTACTGGGTGAGCCTTGAGCTGTGGGTGCAGAGCTGGAAGAACCGGAGGCAGATAAGGGGGCGCGTTGAGAATAGGTTCAGAGAGGGGTTGGGGGACAAGGGGCCCCGGGAAGAAGAAAAGGATGACCCTGGATCCTATTTCAGAAAGGCTTCACCGGGCGCATCCAGATCACGGATACCTGAATCATCATATTTCACTGGTGCCAGCCTGGGACAGTTCTAAAAATGTCTAAAAACATTGCCAAAAATTGAAGCTGCTGGCAGGAGTGTTTCTTTGCTTCTAGTGGGTGGAGCTAGCCCAGAGGCAGGAGGGAGAAAAGAGGACTACTGCTTTGAGACTGTCCCGCCTTACATTGAACGAAATCTTCTGTTCCCCTAAAACCATCTTTAGGGACATCGATGGAGTGTTGCAGCGAGCGAACCACACAGAATACGGCTTGGCCTCGGGCGTTTTCACCAGAGACATAAATAAAGCAATGTACGTGAGCGACAAGCTGGACGCGGGGACCGTCTTCATTAACACGTACAACAAGACCGACGTGGCAGCCCCCTTTGGTGGCGTCAAACAATCTGGCTTCGGGAAAGACTTAGGTACGCCTTCCTTTGCCCGCCCTGTGTTTCTCTGTTGCCAAGTTACAGAAAAACTATGTTTAGCGAGCGCTTGGGTCGCCTTGGGAAGGGCGTCTCCCGCGCGACAGTTCACAAGGCACAAAGTAAAGCCCCGTCTGGCGCTAGGCGGGTGCTCAGTTGTTTCTGTTTCAGGCAAATGGCTTTATTGGCCGCAACAGTCATGCAGGAAGAGTCCACAAATGGCGAGAGAAGCAGTTCTCCTTCCAGGAAAGAGAGTCCCTTTGAAAGAAAGGAAAAGTTCTGACAATCAATCGTAAGGAAAACGCCTCTGGCTTGTCATCTTGCTCTTCAGCATGATGTGGTTTGGCTCTGGGAACTAAGAGGAAACCGAGACGTGAACTTGGGTGGAGGCTGCTGGCCGGCTAGCTCCAGGACTGAATGCTGTTTGGCTGGCCTTCACAGCCAACACTGCAATTGGCGTGCTTTTCTGGGTGTCTGGCAACTCAGAGGTGGAGTTAGTAAAAAAGCCCACAGTGTCATTCCCTGTTGGCAGAGACGCTGTCTGCTTTGAAATAGCGCAGTCCCTTGCTTAGGAGCATCCAGTTGATGGGCAACTCCTCCAAACAGCAAACCAAGCCCACTGCCACCGGGTCCATGCTGACTCACAGTGACCCGCTGAGTTTCCAAGGCTGCCACTGTTCCTGGGAGTAGCAAACCCACTCTTTCTCCCTCGGATCGGCTGGTGATTTTGACCATGTGGATCGAGCCCAGTGCATCCCCACTACACCACCAGGGCAACTTGTGCTTGCCCTTTCATGGTGTGTAAACGTACCCTCATTCTGAGACGGTAGAACCAGCCCCTATACTGCCTCAGATTCTTCACAATCACATCCTCCTGGTGCTCATGCAGATTGTTTTTTTTTACTGTTTAATTGACAAATAATTCACATACCATACATGTCAGTGGCTTTAACTCTTTGTGCACCGTGCAACGCCTTCAAGCCTTTACTCCCTCTGCAGTGAGGCTCAGCAAGAAGCTCATGCACGCACCCCTGCTGACAGCGCTACCAATCCTACTTACAGACACATCGCGGCCATAACCCTAACCCACTTTGAATTTTAAATACTTCCAGAGTCTCAGACCCTGTCCCAAGCACTTTACTTATCAGTGCACAAGCCATTCTCGCCCTGGCCCTGGGACATGGCTATTATTATCTTTGTTTTACAGATGGAAAAACTGGGGGTCTGGAAGAATCACCTGGGGATCTTGTAACACTGTGGATTCTGATCCTGAATATCTGGGGTGGAAAAACACATTCTCAGCCGAGATCAGACTCATTGGAAACCCAGTTCAAAATAAAGTTCCAAGAGGAGAGGCAGACCTACTTATCTCTGCTTGTCTTAAACTAAGATTAGACCAAAGCTTCCTCTCTTGTGCTCAGTTTCTCTTCCTTTCACATAACCCTATGAGAGCCCTGGTGGCATCGTGGTGACTAGTTGGGCTGCTAGCTGCAAGGTCAGCAATTCAAAACTACCAGCCAGCTCCAAGGGAGAAAGGCAGGGACTTCTACTCCCGAAAAGAGTGACAGTCTCGGAAACTTGCAGAGACAATTGGACCCTGTCCTGAAGGGCCGCTATGAGTCAGAATGGGCTCAGTGGGAGTGAGTTTGGTTTGAGTATGTTTTTTTAAAATCATTTCATTGGGGGCTCTTACAGCTCTCACCACCATCCATCCATCATCCATCCATTATGCCAAGTGCATTTGTACATATGTTGCCATCAACATTTTCAAAGCATTTTCTTTCTATCTGAGCCCTTGGTATCAGCTCATTTTCCACCTCCCTCTTGGTTGAGTGTTTAAACAGTCTTGGGCACTCTTGTTCAGCCTAAACTCGACAAAGGATCGAGATAAAGAATTGCTCCTCAAAGAGAAAGTTTCAGGGTTTCAAACTGACCCAACCAACCCTCTGGTCTTCAGAAGGCCAGCTCGCTGGCCGTGGCCCTCACCGCTCAAAAGTGTGGCCCTGGGACCACCGGCATCAATATCATCCTCAAAGAATAGTTTAAGATAGGCAAAGCGCCCACCCTAGATGTCATCCCATTGAACGTGCGGTTGAACAAAGCCCCAGGTGGCCCACATGAACATGAAAGCTAACGCCAGAGTAGCCCCGGTCTTTGCTCAGGGACCTGTACGCCGCCTTTACCTGGGTGGAGGTGGCTGTGTTCACATCCACCTTTCAGCATGGACTGCTTTTCTCTTTCCTAGGCGAGGAAGCACTGAACGAATACCTCAAAACCAAGACGGTGACGCTGGAATATTAGAACAAGGCCGCCGTCAGGAACCCCTTGGCAGACAGCCCCAGCCCTGCGTTCTTGGCAACACCCAAGCAGCCTGGGCGTGCTGCAGAGGCAGGGCACCCGGAGCCAAAACACACCAGGTGCCATCAAGAGACTCGTGGGCCAGAATGTCTTCTACTAAGACTTTTTATACCTTAACACGATTGGCAGTTGTTGGAATTTGATTACATTATGGATTATACACATTTCTAAAATACTAAGCTGCTTCCCCCACTACCCCACCCGATTAATCTAACAACGATTAATCTAACAATGGTTGTTTATTCTAAACCATGAAATCATGAAGCTTCCCGACATAAGGTGCTATGTTCAAACCGTTGTGCGGCATGTACAAATTGGGACCTCGGAACCAGGCAGGCAGTGTTGTCACAAAGATCGTCTTTTGTACTCCCCAGGAACAGCATGAGGGTAGCCCGAGAGGTGTTGCTACCATGTCAGAGAGCCTTGTGAAACAAAAACAGCAAAACACGAGCCGATTGTTTCTCCCTGCACTTCTGAAGGCCACGTCTCTAC